TGTGGGGAGGGGGGGGGGGTGGTCTTGTGTTTTGGGACATTCCCGGTTCTATATTCTTTTGGAATTTTTCATTGCTTTTGCACCTCTGTTCCATACAAAAGAAGAAAGCTGAGTCCCTGGTCTCCTCCTGGTTCTACAAAAGGCTTGCGTAATGCATGTAATTCAAACACACAGCCAAACAATCAAAAAGAGCATTCGAACCATGCTTTTGCACTGAAGACTTGAGACATGTGCAATGTTTACTGCATTTTTTTTTAAAAAAAAAAAAAGTCCTCTGACCTCTGACATCACTGGTGGAGCAGCCATATGGTGAAAGAAGAAACTTGGTCATGTTCCCCACCACAATCTTCTTCCCTCCCTCCCTGTTCTCCTTATGCTGCTGTTTTATTTTCTTTCCCTGTTTGTCCACGTGGATTCGTTGGACTTGCATGAGTGTTTAGCAGTTCATACAGACCCTACCCGTACTCTAAATTAATGCTCATGAATTGAGGGGAGATGGTCAAACGTCCTATTAGGAGAGTCCAAAGGAACACACAATACTGTATGTGTACTATATCCCATAATAACGCATATACACAGCTCTTGAGAGACCCAAATACATGAAAACACATAGAGCAGGAAGGGGCTGAAACTGTGTGGACTGGAACAGATTTAGAAAAATGAATGAGCTTAAATTGACAGATTTTTCTTCCATTGTAGCTTTTTAGCCTGTATGTTCAGCAACAAAGGTGAAAAAAATGGTATGAATGTTGTACTCAGTGTGTTTGCATTTGTAATGAAAGTTGACAGCATTTTTTCCTTTTTTAAAGCTATTCTACATCGTGTCAACACAGAATGAACATTACTTGATTGAATATTTTTTTCCTAAACTATTACAGTGTTGCATTGTACTTAGAATGTAAATGTTTTATTTCAAACTGAACAAAAGCTATGGTTTTCTACAAAATAGTCAGGTATTAGTATTAGAACCTGTCTACCAAATAGCAAAGTCACTATTTTATAACAATTTACCACTATGCGTAATTACGGTATAATGTGAAAGACTGAAATGAGTGTTAAGATGGTATTAATCATGTCAGTATCATGAGTAAGTAAGTTTAATGCTGCTGTATTTTTTATTTTATTTTTAAAAGCCAATATATGTACTAAATTGCTTCCAGGTAATATTTGATTTCCTAAAGTGCACTGAGGTTATCTGGAAGATGAGTGTATTTTTTGACTGCTGCATTCAACACCGATGAACAACTACCACTGTATATCCATAGGGTTTGGCATTCCTCACAGTTCATGGCAGAAATGTTTTTTCTTAAAATCAGACCTGGTGTCCGGTAGAGGGATGAAATAAAATCAATCTTTGGTTCAGCCGTCTAATAAATTGCTAAACAAACAAAAAACTTGAAGAAAAAAAAAAAGCTTGATTACTACATTTCTTCATAGGTAGCATTTATATTTATAGCACCAGTGTACATTTTGAAACTTTTTTCTTGGAGGGGGGGAATGGGGAGGGAGGTAGATGAAAGCTTTAATTTAAAAAAAAAAAAAAGTTTAAGTAGTAAATGAAAATTATTTTGATTAAAATTTTTATTTGATCTGGGTATTTTTGGACCACTTGAAATGAATGAACTGCGTTTGAGTTGAAGTGAGGGTGTTAAACCACCAATGGACTTGTATTGTGAATTACCTGCCAGTTGTACTTTATGGAACTTATTTTATGATTTAAAATACTGTACTGTAAATAGGAGGTATGTTACCTTCTCTTTATTTGTATGTTTACCATATACTTTGATATTTGAAATGTACTGGAAAGGTCACTTATATTTCTAGAAGAGATTGGATTTTATGCAACCTTTTTCCTTGAATTAACAGCAATAAAAAAATGAAAAAAAAGAAACTATGTGTGTGCAAGTACTGTCCTTTATCACTGAGAACAACAAAGTAAGTGTGATGCTCTGGGTATAGGGATAAGATCCTGGAAGTTTTCGGCAATCCAGCTCCAGTTTGGTTGGTATCTGTTGCTTTTAAGACAAAGCTGAGAATATTTAACTTAAGGTAAGGTCAGTCTTGTATCTGAAGTCTCTTGATTTAAACGTCTTTAAGATAGATAGATCTCTTGGGAGAAAGAGGATGACCTTGAGTGATAGACACAGGACTTCGACCTAAGCCCTTGCAGAACAGTTAAGCCTGTTTTATATTCTGAGGGCTCCTGTATTTGAGCTAAAACCCAGTTTAAACATGCTTTTTTTTTGACTGCAGTGTCAAATGTGTATGCCAGTCATGAGTAACTAGAAAGTGAGATCTTTCTTCCATCTGCTAAAATAGATTGAAGGACAACAGGAGTTGCTGGGAGTAGAAAAGCAGCTTAGAAATGTGCAGATTACAGGTGAAGGGTCTGGTGTGGATGTGCTTGGTGCTGAGAAAGAGAAGGATACTAATGACTGTCACCTCGCTTTACAGACACTGCTTCTAATTCTGACTGCTTATAACAGCTTATCTACAGAGCTGAGGACCACAGACTATCTTAGATCTTTATCCCAGCTTACTCCCCAGAACAACCTACTTCCCGAGAAACCAACTAATGGGATGAGAAGGCTCAAAGCTGCCAATGAACCCAACCTCTTTTCTTCAGGCAACTCCCATAATAATGGGGTGTGTGTGTGTGTGTGTGTGTGTGTGTGTGTGTGTGTGTTGAACCCATGTGTCACGCAGACGTCATCATACAGCTTCCATTTCTGCACGTGTTTTCTGTCCCTTTCCTGGATGCGGGGGAGTGCATACACCTGTACGAGGAATTTGTGTATTAATGTAGTACTCTGAAAATACAATCTGCTACTTGCTGTGCCACCCAGCTTGCTGATGCTCTCATTTACCTCCCTGCTGCAAGCAACCCTGACTTTAATAGATCCTGGTTGGATCTGTCAATTAAAAAGTTTAAAAATGCATACCCTCTGGCACAGCAAAATGGTATAAAACCCCTCATTATTCTGAAGCTAGTTTTTGCTGGAGGTCTAGCAGCACTCACACCTAGCTGTCCTCTCTGGCTGCACCACTACTATCTGGGCCATCAGGTTCAGCTACAGCTGCTGTTCAGAGAGCGCTTCTCTTTCCCACTGAGGGGCTTGGAAACAGTCAAGTGCCCTAAAAATACATGAGAAACTGCCCCTACCTGCTTGGCCTGGGCAGCTGTCCAAGCTGTCCAGGAGTGACTCCGGAGTACTGCACTGCTGCTTTGTATTGCCTGCTGCAGTGCTACTGTGGGTGGAAACCTCTTTGTACGGACCATTTGGTTCCTAAAACTGGAAGAAAAGAAATGAACAATGAGGCAGGCACAGGCAGGATTGGAAAGATGAGAGCATAAGGGAGTGCAATGGTGCACACTGCTTGCTTATGGGTGAACAGATGGCCTCATTTTCCCAGCTAAGCCACCCTAGGATGGCAGTGGTGGCCTAACACCGAGGTCTTGATTTAGCTGATACTACTGGAGAGGTGAAGGAACAGTGGGCATATGTGTTGTGCCAAGGTAGACAGAAAGTGAAAGGTGTGGAAAGGTGCATTAAGAACTGTGAAACTGGACCAGGGCCGAGCTACTTCAGTTGTAGAGAGATGGAAGTACCGTCATCATTTACTCCAGTTTTGCTAATGGCTGCCTCTAGAGGTCTGCTGAGCTGGGCCTCCTGCAGAATGCTCTCCTGAAATAAGTTTGCCTAAGTTCTGTGCATGCAAAAAAACAGCCCTGTGCAATAGTGCTTCCTGCTCAGGGCTGGTAACTATGGCTGCTAGGATTAGGCACAGTACATATGAAGGGTGTGTGCACTGCACTTGTGCTTGGGAGGAAGAAGAAGAGGTGTCCTAAAGACGTAGTCCTGAGTTTATACTAGGGCTCAAAGGCTGCCTCAGTTACAGGGCCAGGCCCCATGTACTAACCTACCCTTCTGTGTTCCCCTCGCAAGGGAGGCAGGAAAAGCACATCTCAAAGCATTACTGCAGGGACATTGTGGGCGGCCTCTCTACCCATGGCTGTTGTGTGTCTTTGTTGCTGGTCAGGGCAGAGAAATGGAGTTCTAGTTTTGATCCAGCCACTGAGCTGACCACTGCAGGCAGTCGAGTTCTGTACGTTGCTGTACATTGAAGTCGCTTAGAGATCAAAATGAACATCTGTATTTGGTCAAGCTGAAAGCCCACCTATACCTGTGTCCCATCTCCAGCTATGAACAGTAGCAGATATTTAGGCAGAAAGCACTCTGAATTAAAAAAAAAAAAAAAGACAAGCGGTAATCCTTACAGATGTGTCACCTAGCAGAAGGAAATAAGTCTTAAATTCATCTTCACAATAGGTGGCAGCATAACTCTACCAGTGGAATATTTGAGAGCCTCTGAGGTACCAGGTAAGATGCTTCAGTTTTATTTAGGTTTAGCATCTTTGTGCCATCAGAGTAAGCTTATTTGCAGGATTTCTTTGACTTGGGATTTTGTAACGTTAGTTTCTGTATGTTTTTCTCATGTTTATATGCTTTCTCACATGAAGAGCATACTAATTGTTGGCTCTCCAAAAATTAAGCATGCTAAATGCACATCTGAAGTATTAATTGCCTAGAGCTAAAATAGCCCAGGTCTCATAGCGAACATTGAAAACCTAGAGAACTGCAGCAAAATGTGAAAACTGTATCTTAAGAATTACTGAGTATTAAAGTGGTTCTAGATACTTGTATTCATACAATGAGGAATGCTTTCTGAAGACCATATAGGGTTTTTTGCAAACTAGGATAATTCCTGAGGGAGTCTGGTTATCTTTCAGGATAATGACTCTCTACTCAGTCTGAAGGTCCACAGATCAGATACTTATCTGGAATATCTCATGCTCAGGAACATGTTGCCCAAGAGATGGACCATAATAAACCCATTATTTTTAATATTGATATATGCTCCCTGACTAGTGTAAAGGGTCACTGTTTTATGAATGGCTCAATAAAACAATGTACAAAAGCACAGCCTGAAAAAAAAATTGCTGAACTTGGTAAAAGGATAGAACAGCTGTATTTTAACCAGTAGTTCATTCATTTTAGAACTCTCCTCTTTGATCTGAAATGGCCATTTTTTTCTTGATTTCTAGGATATGTTTTTGCCTGAGATGGAGGATGCTGATGACTGAAACAGAGCTAAGAATTAACTCCTATGGTGCTTTGGTGTGACTAAGGAAAGATGGGGATCGTTGCCTAAAAAACTTATTTACCATTCAAGTTTGATTTTAAAATACTGGTTAGAGACTCCTTAGAAAAATCACCACTATACATAATAAAATATTATTTAAATAATAAAATATTACATTAAAATAGTCTTATTTTACATCATTTGTCATTTGAAAGTTTAAACCATGGCAATTTCAACAACTTCAGATCTTGTTTTGGCTGAAACTCAGTTTTGAAACTAATGGCAGGTCTAGGTAGAGCAGTCACTGTAATGTATAAAATTAATTGTGTTGCTATCAAAATGCTCTTTTCCTTTTTTTTAAAAAAAAGGTTTTTTACAGGATATGCACATGCCCCAGCAAAAGAGCAGACAGCTTAGCAGTGGCAAGACTTCTGGATGAAAACATCATAGGACTTACTTTAATTGCCCTTAAAGACCAGATCAGCTCTGAGGTGCATATTGACAAGGATTTCTAGGTATTTCAAATAACTGAAAATTATTTGAATTAAAAAATAATTGATATACATGATAACAAAATAATTGATATAAATAATAAAAAATAATTTCAAAATAATTTCAAAAAATTGAGGCTGCAAATCCTGACCTCTGTCAACATAAGAAATAAAAATCTCAAATGAAAAGATCAGTAATATGTAAGAAGGGGAGAGGAAAACAACCACAAAACTAAAAAATTACCAACAGGCATTGGGGTGTGCTTGAGACGAGACAATTCTCACACATCGCTCGATTTCTTAACGCAGCTCCTATCTGTTTCATAGCAAAGAACTTCAAAAGGTTCTTTGCATCAATTTGGTACGAAACCAGGTGAATTCTGCGTTTCACCACAGTGCAGCTGACCATTCAAGATACATACAGAGGAGATGGATGCTCTGGGCAACCTACACAAGGCTAATTTACGTGGACTTAGAACAGACTCTAATATATTTTAAATCTTACTGCATTCATAATTCTTACAGCTATACAAAGTTATCAGATAGCTAACGCCCTTTAGTGTCGTCTCCCTTTGATTTGTTTTCCATTTTAATTTATGTGTTTGCTTTTTTTTTTTTTTTTTTTTTTTTATTAGCCTTTTAATGCATGCTAGAACCATGCACGTAATGGAGGGCCATTTGAAATGCTTTAATCTATGGTATGCAAACTCCCAAACAGTAATACTGGAAATTTGCTAATCCAAAATAAAATAACCTGTGCAAGGGGATAACTATTTCAGTGTAGGCCTGTGCCAGTACCTGCCATTGTGAAAGCAGCTAAATGGAAGCTAGGACTTACCATTGCACTTTGAAACACTTTTTCTTCCTTTCTAAGGAAGGATATCTCATTTCTAGCTTGTTCTCAGGTAGCAGAGGCAAAGAACGGGATGTTAATTTAGAGTTAGACAGGAAAACAAATGTGCTTGGCTGCTCTACAGCT